TGTCAAAAGACCAGAAGAAATTCTACAAGACAATTCGCCAAAAAACCAGAAGAACTACCACAAGACAATTTACTAGTAAAATGCCAAAAAAACAAAAGAAATAATGTAAGACAATTTACCAGCAAAGGCTGAAAACCAGAAGAAATACCACAAGACAATTCGTCAACAAAACATAGAAGAAACAGAAGAAAGAATACTAGAAAAAAAAATGCCAAAAAGAAATTCTACAAAAACAAGTAAAGGAAGGGTAGTATAAAACTACCCAAAGAAGCAACCAGACAATTTACCAGCAAATGCTAAAAGACCAGAAAAAATACCACAAGACAATTCATCAGCAAAATATCAAAGAACTAGAAAAAATACTACAAGACAACTTACCAGCAAATGCCAAAAGACCAGAAAAAAATACAACAAGACAATTTATCAGTAAGATGTCAAAGAACCAGAAAAATATCACAAGACAATTCACAGCAAACAACAAAGAACCAGAAGAATTATTGCAAGACAATTCACCAGCAAAATATCGAAAGACCAGAAGAAATTCCAAAAGACAATTCACCAGCAAATGCCGAAAAACCAGAAGAACTACCACAAGAAAATTCACTAGCGAAATGCTAAAAGACCAGAAAAAATAACGCAAGACAAATTTACCAGCAAATGTTGAAAGAACTAGAAGAAATACCACAAGATAATTTGCCAACAAAATGTTGAAGAAATAGAAGAAAGAACACTAGAAAAAAAAAATTGCCAAAAAGAAAGTCTATAAAAAAAAAAAGAAAGGATAATATAAAACTACCCAAAGAAGCAACTACAAGACAATTCACCAGCAAATGCCAAAAGACCAGAAGAAATACCACAAGACAAATCACTAGTTAAACGTCGAAAGACTGGAAAGAAATACTACAAGAAAAAAAATAATGATTATTAATTGTTTATATTTGATTTAAAAAATGATTGGTTGATCATACCAATTTCAGGATTTGATCGGAGAGTCAGAATGCATATGACTCAAAAAATCTCACCTATATCCTGTATTCATCATATAAGTTGATTAATGTTTCTACTAAAATTTTTTTCTGTTTATATTATATGATCAAAATGATTAGTAAAAATATACAGGATACTCATAACAGATGATAATTTTATTATATTGAGATAGAATTATATAAGTTTTATAAAAAACTAAACCTGTGATGTATATAAACATACAAAATATTATATATATATAGTCTATAGTGTTGTACGTTTTGACTGTCCAAAGGCTTTTTTGATACTGTCCAGTGCATGTCTAAGCTTTAATAATTAATAAATTTGTTTAAAAAATATATAATTATATATTTTACTTAGAAATTGAAATAGGTTATCTTAATAAAATTTTGAGTAATTTTAATTTATTTAATTGTCCAAAATTGTCCAAAATGTTCAAATTTACTGTCCACAACTGTCCTGTGACAACACTGTATATAGTTATATAAACTTGATAGAATAAGTTATTTGTAGAGATGTCTATATAAATTAGATTTAGTATTATATTAATAATTAAAATTAATTTTTTAGTTAAAATTTACTATGCAGATGCCACATAATTTAGAAACTTTTCTGTATGACAAATAAAGAAAAACTATAACTAACTTTTTACAAATATATGTACTACTTACCAATATTAATTTTTTTTGTATAGTATATGCATATTTGTTCAAAAGAAAATATGTACAAAATTTTATTTTTGTATACTATATACAATCCACATAGTAAAAAATAATTACTGGTTTAGACAACTATTACTATACTAGTATAAAGACTAAAACTTGTTATATAATAAATAGTTATAAAAAGTGTTTGCAAACTTAAATAATTAATTAGACATTAAACCAGATAATATATTTACGTTAAGATATTGTGAAGCAATTTATTGTAAGATAGGCAAATATAAGAAAACACTTAGTAATTTAAATAAATCAGAGAAATATTAATTAAGAGAATGCAAGACACAGCTTTCAGATTTTAATGAATCATTGAAATCAAGCAAAAATCATTAACAATTGAAAAAATAATATAATTGTATTAATAGTAATTATGATATAGAAGATTGATAGTTGCACAAAAGATTTTAACTTTGATCTTACGATTATAAACATATAATTGAGTGGATTACACTTCATAAACTAGATAATATTAAAAAAAAATGTATTTGTCCTATAAAATACAACAAAATTTTATAGTAAATATGTAAAATCTTAAAAGATTTTTTATGTGATCTATTAAATAAATATTAAATTAATTATATATATTTATATAGTTTGACAATTATTTGTAATGCATACCTGCAGATAACAAGCTTAAAATATATGGATTTATCCATGTATTTTAATTTTTAATATACTAAAACTATAATTATATTCAGTAATTATTTTTTGCTGTGTAGACTGTGCACAGCACACAAAAATGATATTTTGCACACATTTCTTTTGAACAGATGTGCAGATGCTGCACATAAAAAATTTTATTTGGTAAGTTGTGCGCACACTTGTAAAAAGTTGGTTATAGTTTTTCTTTATTTGTCATACAGAAAAGTTTCTAAATTGTGCAGCATCCACACAGTAAATTTTAACTAAAAATTAACACCGGTCTAAGCTAATAATTTAAAAAACTTAATGCTATTTTAACTTAAATACTAACAGAATATATATATTCTACTTTTTATTTTAATTATCTGAATTATACTATATTTGATCTATTAGAAGTCAAGAACATGATGATTATTTTCCAACAGTTAGAGTTAACTCTAGGATTTAGAATAATGTATCAGAAAATAATTGCCAGTAATATTAATAAGTACTTACATATTTATAGTACTTAAAGTTTTAACAACAAAATGTTAAAAAAATAAATTCTTAGCATATTAACAGCAAATTTTATTTAAGTAATTGATAAAAAAAATATTTGTTATATGAGTAATATACATTAATTTATTTAAATAATTAAATAAATAACTTAGGTTTTTATATAAATAATATTAATATATAAATTACTGTTTCTATAAGAAAATAAGATGCCTAAGGTTGTTCTCAAGCACCTCTCTATGGTCGATAAAGTGATCCAATTGGCTAAAAAAATAAATTGTGTTTAATCATTTCGGTCCAAAAAACCTGGAGCTAACAACCATCCTTTTTTTAATAGAGTTACTCCAATTGGCTGAAATTTAAAATCTGCATTTCGCACAATGAATTTTCGGCAAAATTGTTACAGGATCACTTTCAATTAATCGAAATGATTGAGCAGCATCTCGATCACTTGCAAATTACATCGAGGGAGTTGCTTGCGAACAACCTAAATCACAACAAAGACTAGGCTACTCGAAAGAAGGCGTGAAGGATTTGGTCTGAGGACCAAGGATCCTATTGCCACTAGGATCCTCGGATTAGGTAGTCTTTATTATGGTTTTATTTCTTATTATCTATCTGCCCCGTTAATTATATGAAATCAATGAGCTTTTATACATTATAAACAACATTGGGGCTTTGCTAATACGATTAAGATCATTATAAGTAATATAGCTATTTAGAGTATCGGGGGTTTCGCCTTTCGCAAGGGGTTTCACCTTTCGCCAGAGTTTTGCCACTTTCGTCTTTTGCCGGGTTTAGGTTTCATCTTTTGCCATTTGCGTAAAACAGTTTCACCTAACAACTGTATGCTTGACTCTGTGTTTACATATTTAGAAATCATAGCCAACTGTGGAAATGCGAGATTTTGTGGACTAACATCCTTGAACATGTTGGTAAACCATACTCTCCGTTTTCACTTGCGGAAAACTCCGTTCCTGGGAAATGTAATTTTGTAGCACTTTGCGTAAACACGCTCTGAACAACGAAGATGATAAATGAGTAATAATGATATTGCATTTTATAAACTCCCTATTTCTAGTTAATTTGAAATCTCCACGATTAAATAGTTTTAAAAATAATAATAATATACATATATATTTTTTAATAGAACAAACCAAAATTATCGCTTCAAAAAAGCTTATGAAGAATCACAACTGACCGTGAAAGTTCTTGAATGTGAGAAACAAACTATATTTAATATTTAATATCAAAAACATTTCCACATATTTTATGGTTTTATATAAAACTATAATCTCAAAAAGGTGTTGTAAAGAACCTTTACGTGTAATTGCTGTATCTTTTATTCGAATAGTGATTCATTTTATGTAGTTGTTAGAATTTAGAGTTAAAATTACTAATAAAAGAATATTAGCAGTATTATAGATTTAAATTAAAACCCAAATTTCGGCATCTTTATAAGCTATCAGAATAATTAAAAGGGTTTATAAATAAGTATTTCATTTTCGCAATAATGACTCAAATGGATATTCCTTTTATTTCAGTAATTTATGCAAGTATTTATTTATTTATTTTTCCATGCCATACATGGGCGACTGTCGGACACCCTCATGGTTGGTTTGATAATTATGATGTTAACACAATAAAGTTTTTACATATCACACAATTCAAATATTAAAATTGCTATTTTATAAAATGTTATGCATGCGTTTTGTCAGTTGAAATTCGAATGTAATTTCAGTAGAAGGTAACATTGAAATATTAAAAATTCAACAACGCCTAACAATCCATCGTTTTAATAAATCATAAAGAAATCAATTAATTTATATTACAGTCTTAACTGCACAACCTATGAAACGTTCCCCTAAATGCACGTCTTTAACGAGCCCAACCGATATAATACTTACAGATTTTTACCTCCATAAATACAATACCCCTTTAAAAACATATTTAAAAACATATTTGACTAAATTACATGTAAAACCTCTTTAAATATACGTTTGACAAAAATTTATATATATATTCCAGTCGCAATGTATTAGAGTATATTTAATAACTAGCGATGATAGTCCTTTAATAACTAATAGCAAATCAATATATATATACATATTATATTTTTTAAAAAAAAGCATATCAAAGAAATAATGACTACAACAGTTAATTTCTAGGCCAAATTCTAACTTTCAATTCATCGCATGAATTAATTATTGCAGATTTAACCTTTAATGGAGCATTCATATCAACTAATTCAATTTCATACTTTCTGAAAACCAATACCAATAATGAAAGTAATTCTAATGTCGCTAACTTTCTTCCTGGACAATTACGTAATCCAGCACCAAATGTAACCAAAGAAAATTTATGCCTTGCTTTAGGATCTTTTTTATAAAATCGTTCAGGGTCGAAAATTTCTGGATTTGGCCAATGATCTTTGTGTGAATGAATACCATTCATGTTTATATGGAATAGTACTTTCTCATTCCATTGGTATCCAGCTACTTCACAAGGGGTTTCAACGTATCTTGGGAATTCATTTGCAACAGGTTTAACCCGACTAACTTCGTTAATTACCGCATCACAATATTCTAACTTTAAGAGGTCGTTGTATTTCATATTAAAAGGAATATTTGGAGGAAACATCGAATCGATTTCGGCAACCATTTTTTGTTTAACTTGAGGATAATGGCAGAGATAGTATGTTATAAAAACAAATGTAGTTGAAATCTAAAATTTATAATAATAATAAAATAATTAAAATTACTTTAAATTACGTCAAAAAATTATGTTAAAATGTGTCAAAATTATGTTAAAATTTGTCATGATTATGTTAAAATTTGTCATGATTATGTTAAAATTACGATACATACGGTATCAGTTCCACCCAAGAAAGCATCAAGCATGTTACCTCTAATTTCAACATCAGTCAACGGTCTAAGAATATCATCTTTAACACTCTTGGTATTATTTATGTCTCTTTCTGTATTAGCAATAATTAAAGATGTCAACATATCACGCCTCAATTTAG